TGATTGCACAGTCCTTCTCCTCCTCCTTCTCCTCCCCCCCCCTTCTCCTCCTCCTCTACTCCAGGGCTTTTCAATCTTTTCACCCATTGTACCACTTTTAGGATATGGCAACATCCGAGTACCACCGGTCGCCTAGCAAGGTGTCAAAAACTTGACCAAAAAAAAAGAGGAAAAAAGTGATAAAGTACAGGTAGCCCTCGACTTACAACAGTTCGCTTAGTGACTGTTCGAAGTTACAATGGCACTGGAAAAAGTGCCCCCAAGCCACAGCCGAGCAAGACACCTGCCTGCCCGCCCGGCCGTGCTCTTCCTCCTGTCCGAGGTTTCCATTGTTGTGAGCATTTCTGTTGAGGATTGGCAGTGGGGGTGGGGTGGGGGGGTGTTTGGTTTTTATTCTCCCCGTCTGCTGGGTGGTTGCAGCAGGTTTTGGTCACTTCACATGACCCTGGGACACTGTGACCGTCATAAATATGAATCAGTTGCCAAGCATCTGAATGTAAATCACAAGACCCTGGAGATGCTGCAACATTCCAGCTGATCGGCGCTTCTTCTGGGCTCAGCAGAAGTGTCAGGATCAGTGCCAAGCTCCAGCTGGAGCCTGGCGCTGATCCTGGCGCTTCCGCTGAGCCCTGACAGCCCTGCAGCTCCAGCCATCTCTCGCTCAGGCTTGTGCGGTGCTGCCACTGGTTTAGCTCATCCCCTGCTCCACTTTTCTAGGATGGTCGCGTACCACCTGCCAGGTGCCAATGTACCACAGGTGGTACCCGTACCACTGGTTGAAAAGCCCTGCGTCTACTCCACAAACCCCTTCTCCCTTCTAGCACTAATGATGTTACCCAGTCGGGTAATAAAAAGTCTGCAAGAAAACCACCAAGCTCAGAGAGCCCCAAGGACCCCACAGTCTTCCTCCTCCTTCTCCTCCTCTTCCTCCTGAAACCTGCATTATCCTACTACTGACATATACAATGACCTAGCTCTCTAGTGAAGTCTAGAATTACTGGGAACGGTGGAAGGAAAGAGAAGAAGAAGGCCTACAACGAAGTCAATGGACTCAGCTTGGAAATTGGGAAAAGATCCTCTACCTAACAGTCTTATCTATTTGGTCATTAAAACTTGCCACCAACTTGATATCAATCAATCAAATGTCACAAAATCAAATATAATGCTTGTGGGATCCTTGGTGTTCTCTAAGTTCATTTGTTTTCTTGCAGTTGTTTCGTGACCCAACTAGGTAACATCTTCAGAACTTAGAAGTTGCAAGCACCACTCCCTTCTAGCACTGATGATGTTACCTAGTTGGGTCATGAAACGTCTGCAAGAAAACCACCAAGCTCAGAGAGCCCCATGGACCCCACAGTCCTCCTCCTCCTCCTCCTCCTCTTCCCTGCAAATCCCACTCCCTTCTAGCACTGATGATGTTACCTAGTTGGGTAATGAAAGGTCTGCAAGAACAAATCCAAGCTCAGAGAGCTACAACGACCCCACAGTCGTCATCCTCATCCTCCTCCCCTCTACTCCACAATCCTCTCCTCCCTTCTAGTTACCTAATTGGGTCATTGAAATGTCTGCAAGAACAAAACCAAGAGTGCTACAAGGATCCCATAGTCCTCCTCCTCCTCCTCCCTTCTAGCACTGATGATGTTACCTAGTTGGGTCATGAGATGTCCGCAAGAACAAAACCCAGCTCAGAGAGCTACAAGGAGGACCTGAAGACCACCTGACTTCCTCGGGACCTTTTGACATGGAAGGACTTTGCAGAGCTCAACAGGGTCTCCGGGAAAGCACTCACCAACTGCCGCCTGTTCTTCTTCCACGTTTCTGCTTTTCTCTTGGAGTTCATATTCTGAAAGGCTGAATTCACGAAACAGAGCTAGGTGAATGCTTTGCATTTTTAACAGCATCACAAAAAATTCAGCCTGCTTACGGATTCTAATGCAGGATACGAAGGGGCGCATCGGGTAGGGCAGGAATGAATGACAGGGCCTTTTCTTGGGCAAACGTTAAAAAAAAACCCCCAAAAAACCCCTAAAAAGCTATTTTAACCGTTTCTTTCCCTCCCTAAATGTGTCATCGACACAGAATTGCAATGCATTAAAAGAGCCGTTCTGCTCCAAAGGCTTTGGAGACACGATATCGGAAACGGTATCTCTTACAACTTCCCTGTTGCCTTGCAGATATTTCATTACTACACTAGGTGACGTCATCAGCGCTAGACCTTTTAGAGCATTGATAAGGTGGTGTGATTTGGTAATGAAATGTTTGCGAGGAAACCACCAAGCTCGGAGAGCGTCAAGGACCCCACAGTCCTCCTTCCAGCACTGATAATGTTACCTAGTTGGGTAATGAAACGTCTGCAAGAAAACAGGCAAGCTCAGAGAGCACCAAGGACCCCACAGTTCAACCCTGAACTATAAATATTCTCCTCTATCAACACAATAGGCAGAACATTTATCATAAGCGGGAATCTGCAGTACTTACAGAAGTCACTTGGCGGATTATGCGTAAGGTTTCTGTAGAATTCAGTTCGGTGAGCTTTCTTTAAACCTGTGCATAGCCCAAAATCAGAGAGTTTTACATGCCCCTACAGAAAGAAAACATTACTCATATGATTAATCCAGATGACTGATGTAAATACGTACTTCTGGAGCAATCCCCCGATTTACATCTAACCGTCCACCAGCAGAACTGTGCCAAACAAAGCACAAAACCGCGCTTGAGCAATGGACACGCAAATGGATTTAAAGCAAATGTTTAGCACTATTTTATTTCTAAAATTTATATAGCCACCCATTTATTAGCCACAGTAACTCTGGGCGGCTTACAATGTTAAAAAGATAAAAGCGTATAAAGTGTAATAAATAGAAATACAGTCTTATAAACATCAACCTAGCTAACAATATGGGGAGGGAGGGAGCTTGGAGAGAAGGGGAGGGGGTGGGAACTGTTCTTAATCTATCAACTTACCCACCCCCAAGGTGGAGCCCCTCCGTTGGTGCTTGAAGCCAACTGGCAGAGCCAAGTCTTTAAGTTCTTATGCAGGGGTCTTCAAACTTGGCCCTTTTATGACTTGTGGACTTCAACTCCCAGAATGCCTCAGCCAGCATGCCTGGCTGAGGCATTCTGGGAGTTGAAGTCCACAAGTCATAAAAGGGCCAAGTTCGCAGACCCCTGCTCTTATGGATGGTGAGGAGGGTTGGAGCTGACCTCACATATTGATATCTCGTTTTGGGGAGGGTGTCGTTTGAAGGGTGATTTCTACAATCAGCCCTTCAGTGGACAGGTTTTGGATGGGCAGGTTCAACCTTAGACAAGAAGATTTCTGTTTCATAAGAGGAGGGGAGATGTCAAAACCAACCGCAGCCCAGTCATTTCAGCCATGGTGTTGAGGATGTCACAAGTACCTACGAGAAGAGTGTTTTCTCAATTCTCAGCAACTTTAAGCTGGGTGTACTTCAACTCCCAGGAATATGGACTTCAACTCCCAGAATTCAACTCCTAGAAGTGTGGACTTCAACTCCCAGAAGTGTGGACTTCAACTCCCAGAAGTGTGGACGTCAACTCCCAGAATTCAACTCCCAGAAGTGTGAAATTCAACTCCCAGAAATATGGACTTCAACTCCCAGAATTCAACTCCCAGAAGTGTGGACTTCAACTCCCAGACTTCAACTCCCAGAAGTGTGAACTTCAACTCCCAGAATTCAACTCCCAGAAGTGTGGACTTCAACTCCCAGAAGTGTGGACTTCAATTCTCAGAATTCAACTCCCAGAAGTGTGGACTTCAACTTCCAGACTTCAACTCCCAGAAGTATGGACTTCAACTCTCATAATTCAACTCCCAGAAGTGTGGACTTCAACTCCCAGAAGTATGGACTTCAACTCCCAGAAGTGTGGATTTCAACTCCCAGAAGTGTGGACTTCAACTCTCAGAATTCAACTCCCAGAAGTGTGGACTTCAACTCCCAGACTTCAACTCACAGAAGTGTGGACTTCAACTCTCAGAATTCAACTCCCAGAAGTATGGACTTCAACTCCCAGAAGTGTGGATTTCAATTCCCAGAAGTATGGACTTCAACTCCCAGAAGTGTGGACTTCAACTCCCAGACTTCAACTCCCAGAAGTGTGGACTTCAACTTCCAGACTTCAACTCCCAGAAGTATGGACTTCAACTCTCATAATTCAACTCCCAGAAGTGTGGACTTCAACTCCCAGAAGTGTGGACTTCAACTCCCAGAAGTGTGGA